TCAGTGCAAATGACCTAAGTATTCCCTTATCTGAACCATCTGATAATTTCTTCTTCAGTGAAGTTCTTCCCCTCTTGAATAATAATTAATGCATTTTCTCTTAATTTTTTAATTCTGTAAGGCACTGTTCTTAAGCAGAATTTTATGAGCGCCCATTTACTGACTGAATCATTTTTATCTCAAAAAACTGTTTAATGAAGGCAAAATGCATACTACATAATTGAAGAGCCCAAGTAAACTCACTCTTTTTAAGACAGTTTCTTCTACTTGAGTTATATCTTCTTTCAAATGCAGCTCTGCTCTTGGAAGCCCAAGTACTAATTTTTCATAGCTTTTCCTTTTCCCTATTTCCCAAATACTATGAACTCAGCCAGTTTTAACAGTATGATCTTTTAATGAAACCTAGATCTGAAAACCAAGAGCAGAATGCAGTTTTTTACACTGATCTCTACCTCATTTAAGCCTAACACTCACCTTTGAGTCTGCTTGCTCTTCCAGCACAAAATGTCCACTATCTGTTATTAGTTCATTCATAAATGTTTCAGTTATATGCAAGTCATCACACCTTGTTTCCATTATCCTTAGCTATTTTTACCTGGTGTGCCTTACCACTGCATTCAACTTCATAAATCCCAATACCACTCCTATGGCCATCTTCCTCATCAATCAGTAATTTTACCACCCCTTTTTAGCACAGTCCACTCAATCCAGCTTTGTCACAGCATCAAAACTTAACTTCTGCATCTTGCTTTTCACAGATTTGCTCATGATTGATTATCTACTCCATTTTACGCTCATCCCTTACCCACATTGTTTCTAACAACTGTTTAGTCCTAAATGAAGTCTCCAGTCTGCAAAGATGAACTGTATTTGAAACTGATGCAGAGCAACACATCTTGGAAAATCTCCCACCAATTTAAACAAGTGCCTGGTGAAAATTAAAACAAAGCAATCTATAAATAATGCAACCCAGAACTATGCAAGTCCAAGTAGACACCAAAAATCAGTGCTTTGTCATATGGTCATTTACCAAAATGATTAAACTAGACAATTTCTCTACTATTCTGGTTTATTAGATTCAGGTCTTCCTAATCTGAAGACTTCTGAATATGCTCAATACAAGCCATTTTTCACTGCATATTATTGCACCATGGTGAGAAAGACTGTAAAATCAGTCATGAAGCCCTATCTGCCTGTACTGACCCAAGTGCACCTCATTTTCAACACTGAGTAGAGCATCTTTACACATTTTTTCCTGCTCCTTTTGTGGGTTTATATTTTAGTGTTATCTGAAGATACCTCTTTCAAATCAATTATTTGTTGTTACTTTGGTCTTGAGCACTTTGAACAAATTGATGTTCCTGTTCTACTGGAAAAGCTTTAGAGACTGAATGAAAAGTAGTGAGTGGTAACACACATGAAAACAGGCTAGATGATCATATAGTCTTCTTGATCTTAATTTCTATTAAGCAGTAGTTGATGGGTTTTGTTTGTTTCTTTGTTTCTTGTTTTTGTAGAGCCAATCTTTGCTTTTTTATTGTAATAGAACTGACAGTCCAGACATGAGCCATTCTGCCAACTGATGCACACATCCAAAGAATATATAATTTTTTTAGTGTTTTGCTTATACTTTTATTTTGCTTAGGGCCATTTTTGCACATATATATTGGTTTTCTTGTGTTATTTTGTTTCATGATGTGAAAGCCTAGAACTTAGTGCAGTATTTATCATGAAATACTTGGAAAATGAAGATCAACATTACATTTCTACTGCAGTACTAGCAACATTTCTTTTTTCTTCACCATAATAATTCTCCATAACTATTAAAAAAAATACAATTCAAAAATACACTCAACTTTAAGCTGCCTGTAAATAGTCTTTTAAACATTTGTTGTATTTTCAGACACGTTTATCATATCAGAATCTTAATTATAGCCTGACTTCCTATTCTTCTGTTTGAACATGAAGAAAAAAAATTCTTTATTGAGCTATGACTAAGAGTCTTTATGATATTATTCATTCTATAATTATTCTCAGTATCATTAAAATGATAATCAGATCCTGATTAAAATTACTTCTGTTAATATAAATTTATTTTTTAAAAATGATCTTTAGAAAAGGAGTTTTTACTTTAAGGAGTGTAGAGAACTGTCATGTTTTCGTTCACTGTAGGGACAGTAGTATCAAGGTAATGCCTGAAATAAAGCCTCATAAGTGTGATCAGTTCTAGATACAGGACAAAAAAGACAAAAGCCCTGTCAAGTTGAGGCTTTTGGCTTCTGTAATAATCTACTGGGGGGAAAAAAGAAGAAAAAAAAAGAGACATCAGGTATGATTTCTCTGTGATGAATTCAAGATAATGGCCCATTAGCACAAAATGCTGCTTGTTGTGAGCCTGTGCAAGCTAAAACAAACTCAAAAACTCAGTATGGTATGTCAGGCTTTTCTCACGAAATGTTTTAACAAACAGATTAATCATAATAGAAGTAGACAATTATGTCATTGCAAAGCTGTGTTCCTCCTGAAGGATCCCAAGAGTTAGAATGCTGTACATGATCAGAGAAGTTGGGGCAGAAGAGTCTCTCCTTGTCCCACCTGTTTAAGATGAGTAACAGACTGTTTTCACTGTTTATATTTTCTGAGAAATTTTGAAGTTATTAGAATGTGGTGTCTCAGACACCACCAATTAAATAATTCAGCTGTTGCTGCAGCTGCTACTGTTTCTGACTGTAGAAAGTTTATGAAGAGTAGTAGACATGTAGTTACTGTGCCCAGTAGCAAATAGCATTATCTGTTTTCAACCATACAGAAAGTCAAATGAATAGAGCCTAAAGATGTCTTTTCTTTACAAGTATTGACTCGAAAAATGACAGTAACAGTTTTGTTGCAGTGAGAGATTTGAGGCTGTCTGATTAAGTGGAATCGTTCAGAAAGAAGAGAGTCTTAAAAGCTGAAAAGATCTGGACAAAACCTTCACCTTTTTCAGCCAGTGCCTCGCATTGCTAGCCTAATGTGAGACCAGCTAATATCCCTAGAACACTTAAAACTCTACTTTTGAAATTATGCAGCAGTTGACTATAGCTTTATGATGCTAATATTAGTGGTAATACAGGTGAACAGCAGAACTACACAGGCAATCTCAACTGCTGTACCACTTGGACTGCAGGATGAGACCAAATAAATGCAAAAAAAGTTCAAGATAGTTCCAGGTGTGATAAAACAACTGAGGTATAAATAACACGTCTTTAAGACGTGATAAATGTTCACATACTTCTTTGTACTGCTGAAGCAGTACATCATATTATCAATGATATCTACACTTTTTGTATTCAGGGTAAATAATAACCTTCTTATTTTAACAAGTTGAGTGTAAGCCCTACAAAGCAAATTAGTATCTAGATCCTAAAGATGTGGATCCAGATTCACCCTTGTCCCCAAGAAAACTCCCAACAAGCAGATTGCCAGAAGCTGTGTTGGATGCATTCCAACAGAGAAAGAAGAGAAAGAAGAGACTTCTTATGTTTCCCTCGAAGCATCTACAGCTGGCATTACAAGGCAGCAATGCACATAAGGCTGTGGTCTAACGCTGTGTAGCAGTTTATGTGTTCATATGAGCCCCAACATTTACTTGTATACATACATTAGAGTATGATTATTTTTTTTTTCAACAGAATGGAAGAACATCAGCAGAACTAAAAGTTTCCTTTCATCCAAACCTTCATTAAACCTTCCCAAACCTCAAACCTTAGGCTTGAATTCCCCTTACAGGGGAAGCAAGGGGATGAATAATGCAGTACATTTAGTGCTAGCTTTGACAAATACTTAGGAGACAGTTTGGTGACTGGACAGGAAACACCTCCCAGTTGTCAAAGCCAAGATAGCTGTTTTCAGCACAACTGAATGTTCCCCACAAAAGTGGAGTTTCCGATGCAGGATAGATAGATAGCATCTGGAGATTCCAAAGAAAAAGCTGCTTGCTTTTTCAAGCACATACTATCAAGCTATGTTTGATATAATCCTTGATCATGCATTTGACCTTCTGAACTATTTTTTCCCCTGAAAGATTCCCACTGCTGTAACCTTCAGTATTTTGGTCTGGCTACTAAGACCCACTGTCTGATCCGTAGAGCAACTTCTCATTGTTATACAAAACTCGTGAACATTTGCATTTAACTGTTGGCCCTGGAGCTTAGCAGAAAGTAGATGAAATGAACTAAGTACTTTCCTTTTGTGTGCATTGCATCTGCTCACAAGGAAAATAAAATATTTTTATTGTCTTGCAGTTACTAGTTCTAATTTATTAGTTCTACATGTGCTGTTCTACATATTTATTAGTTTTCACTTTTGTAAATATAAATATTTTATACTTAATTCACAGAAGAAAAAGGCTTTTTGATTAAATACCTATATAGCTTGTAAAGCACGAATTTTAAAGCCTTCAGTATTTTTTACTAGGCTTTCCATTTCTACTCCCCACTAATCTGAATCATGTACATAAATTACTTACGTAACATTTGAATAAATCAGTTTTTTTTATGAAGTCCTAGAGCACATGGTGCATTTTTTCAGCAGTAAACTTAAGTTTTGGAGTTGTGAGCCATCAGCATATAATTAGCTATCATTCAGGCAAACCTGATAGCTCAGGTAAAAGGAGTGCTCTCAAGTGTCAAAGTGTTCATTTTTTGAAAGCTTCAATTAAAATGATTTTTAAATCTATTGTTAAAGGGAGGAAGTTAATAAGTTTGCCTGCTGCTAAGAACTCCATGCGTCATCTCCAGCAATTCCAACAGATAGATACCTTAAGAATACTAGAGGATCATTTTACTTCAGAACTTCCACTAATTGTAAAGATTTAAATTACTTATGTAATAGAACTGTTAAAAAGTACATGCTTACTTTACACTGATCTCTATAGAAAGAAGTATTCAAGCAAAACAAATATCCCAAATATGTGTTGAAAGACACTGTCTTTAATATAATCAAGGGACAAGTAATTTTACCCTCTCCAAAATTCAGTGGTGATGCAACCATGCTGAAAGCAATTCTGTTATATCTTTTCCTTAACAGCTCCAAAACTCTGTTTTCTGAAAGGCAACGAAAAGACAAGTTATTACGTGAAGCCCTTCAACTTCTCATTCTTTTATCCCCTTGATTTACTAGCAGTAAGTTGAAAATTCTCCTTCCTCAAGTGTAGGCAGTAGCTTTTTCCATTGCTAAATGGAGAAGGATTGGTAAATCAGATCTCCTGTTGCTGTGTTTCACAGCCCACATAAATTAAAGAAATGGCACTCTGCATTAATATGGCAGGCTCTGATTGCTGGCAGCTGGGTGGCTGAAATGGCACCCATAGGGCAACTTGTGTTGGATGGATGGCTGTCTGCTGCAATGGAGAGGCACAATGGGGCAGGGGATGGGGCCAGAGATCCCTCAGAAAATCTTCAACTGAGACAATTTAAGGTACATGTTACACTGTACTTATATATCTCTGGGTCAGAGATGAGTTATCCCTGAATGCAATTGCAGCTCATGTTCGGGACATTTAGCTTCTCTTAGGGAAGCGTTTAAAATCTACTGTTGTGTCCCCAAAGGCTTTATAATTGTTAACAAACCAGAACTTATTAAATAACCAGGAAAACTAAAGGTTATTGTTGCACACCTGATGCAGGAACTATTCAACTTTATCAAAGGATGCTCACCTGCTGGAATGACTGCAAAAGCTTATAGTTACAGAATAAAAGATCCTTTGAGAATTAACCTAAACTTTCAAATCTACCATTTTTTAATTAGATATACAACAACACTGATTTTTTTTGCTTCTTTTTAACACAATGTATTTTTCTAGTAAAAAAGAATGTTTTTCCACTTGAGCAAACTCCAAACACTTTCCTGAACTGCACTGAAAGAATGGCTCTGTGGGACACCATGAGCATTAGAAAGTCTTACATCCCAATCTAAGTGGAGAAGCTAGAGAAATCACACAGAGCTTCAGCAAATGCCTATTTCAGGTGATAATAATGACAATTTATTTCAGTACTTTTATGTCTACATGCGTGCTATCACACCTTTCTTTCTGTTTCACATCTGAGATTTTTTTTCTTCTCTGATGACATTTCAGACTGAACAAACCCATGGCTTTCACAGTGACCCTTCTATCACAACTGCTCTGCTGTCACTACAGCTGTATGCTGGCATTCAGAATAAGAGCACAGACTGTTTTAAACTTTAAATACCAAAATGTCTTTGATACACCTCAGGGCACAGCATTTATTTCCTCCAAGTTCTCTTTTGTTTACTCTGTAATGTCAGTTTAACATATACTGAATATACCATTACCATGTTTCCACTATATCCATACTCAGCTGTGTTAGGAAAGATTACTTGCAGTCAATAAACCATGACAAGTTTATATTATAAAGACAAAACCCTCAAAACAAAGACAAAAATTGAATGAAACATTTTTCTAAAATGGTCTGGTTTGCTATTGTTTCTTATCCATGCCTGAAAATGCAATCAGTATTAAAAGCAACAAATGGAAGATCTCACAGCCATAATATTATTTTTTTTTTCAAATTCCATCAAAGAGTGATTTTTATTTCCATTTTCTGTGATGAGTTTGTGCCTGGAAACATACTGCTGATATGATATTGCCATCCTTATTCATACTGAATAGGAACTAGTTTTGAAAATAGGAATAGATGCAAACTGACACTGATTCACTTCTGATCCTATTCATGCTAAATTCAACCTTACACAAATACAACCAAGCTCAGGATTTCTTCTCAAGAGGAGTGTTACTCACCCGCAGAAATACCTAAATGATTTAGGGCCAGATAAACACTTCTGAGGTGTTACAGAATATGAAACAATAACGTCGGATGTACTATTGTTGTAAGTTAAATTTAAGTCATGGGCTACATGCTACATGTAATGACAGCTAGAAAATCCTCTCTAAGAACATGTTTGTCTTTTCAGGCACATGAACTTTTTGACAAATGGAAGCAAAGACTGTACAAAATATTTAGATCCAGCATCTCACTTGGAGACGAAGGGAGAACACAGGACTTGGACATAAGGGAGGACAGAGTTAGACTGAATCTGGGTCAAATCCCATACTCAGCTCTTTCAGGCAGTATTTCATACAGCCCTTTCATAAATTTATAAGAGTTGTTTGCTTAGTTTCTCCTTTCACTGTTTCCACTGAGAAGCTAATATGGAACTGAACTCCAGTGATTAGGAGCTGACTTCCAATTTTGACTCTGAATTCATTCCAGGCTACCTAGCACCTAGACTTGGGATTTGTTGTTATTTTCTGCAGCAACATTTGCTGTCAACTTGTTCCCTCTTCTCAGTGTTATTTTCCCTTTTGAACATGTATTTAGAAACAGAAAACATACCCTCAACCTTCTCTTTTGTTAGGCATTAAGAAGTTGCTCTGCAGTTTTTCTCGTAAAACTCTACTTCACCTTGACAGCAGCCCTTCTTTGCAGCCTTCCTGTGCAAACTGCTGAATGAGCACTGTTGTATTCTAACAGTCTGCTCTAAGCCTTCATCACAACAATGATGATGTCACACTTGACAGTACAGTGAGTATTTTTCACATTGCAGTACAGAGAGATTATATGTAGCAATATGATGCATTAGGTCTCTAGGAAAAGATGTAAAAGAACATGCATATACTATGTTAATATAATACTGCCTTTCAAATGACTTACATATAAAATAGGATCTGTTACAGAGAAGCTTTCCATGTGACATTTAGAGATATCATTCTTATGGACATTTTCAGGTATCCTTAAATTTGCTCCTTAGTTTCTAAGTCTCTTTTTCACTCTAACTGCCTACACTTATGCATCATCTGTTACAAGAAATGAAGATGATGAAGTGAGACTTCAACCATATCAGTATACTTGAAGGGCTACCAAACCAACATAAATTTCCTGAACAAAGATAGCTTGAGCAGTGGATATAAAAAAGACTATTCAGATATAGGAACCTTCCCCTAGTGCTTGTGGTAATAAAAGCTGATTTTTTCCCTGGGAGAGCACTCCAAGGAACTCTTGAGGAACGTCCCAAGGAAGAAAAGATGTTACTGCACACAGGTGACTAACTTCCCTGTGAGCTGGATGTCAAAGGAAGAGCAACACAAACACCTTTTTACAGGTCTTACTGGAACAATATTGTCTTGGGTTATTTATACCTATTACCAAAGGTTAAAATAAATCCAGTGTTTCAGTTTACTGTGCTTCCAATATCACTGAACTTGCAAAGGTTTGATATGAAAGAGCCGATACTTCCTCAGTTTCTGAAAGAATGTTATAATGGAAGGATTGCATCAAAGCTAGCAATATTTTTAAACAATCCACCTCCCACTCTTTTCTTTAGTTTTTAAAGATGGGTCTTAAGACCAACATCCCAGTGCAGCATTACCTCCTCCATTGGTCGAAACTGGAACGGAGGATGCCACACTTAAAACAGTATTCTAAAGAAAAAATATTAATAAATCTCTTCATACAAAGATGCATGGAAATGCTTAACACCAAAGTTCTTATAGTTTGTTATGCTTATTTCTATTAGGAAAGTTGCCTGGAAGTCCACGCCAGCATTGCTGTAACCCTCAATTAATCCGTTGGTTTTCTTTTGCACCACATGTCCCACCATCTGGGGTGAATCTCTTGACACATGGCACAAGAGTCATTCTCTGCTTCAGAGAATGAATATTTAAGCATTTGTTACATACTGAATCAGCATTAAAAACAAGCAGTGAAAGATCCTTACCCCAGCTTACCTGACAACCTCCCTGACAGGTGGTGCTACACATCTGCAGGAAACTGTCTGAATTGGACGCATCCTGGGACACTCCATTTGTTGTTGTTTGTTTGGGTTTATTTTGTAGGGTTTCTTGCCTTTTTTTTCTAACTACTTGGCTAGCAGGTAAAAGGGCTCAATTTTTAGCATTATATAAAATTCAAATTCCCCCTGCATGCACAACCATATAAATATTCAGTTCACCCAGCAAAATAAAAAATCATTTTCTTGCACAACTGTTGCAAAGGCACAGTGGGTGGATTGGGAATTCACCAAAACAGATACAAATAAGAAGAACCTACACTTTTTCTGTTTGACTCAGATTTTAGTGTGGATCTTCTGAAAGTTACATAGATTCTGCAGGCATAGTTCAACATGTTAATTCTGTATCTGTGAAGAAGCAGCTGCTAATTGAGAACACGAGGATAACTGGCTTTAGCATTTTCAGTTCCTTAATCACTCAAATACAAGGTCAAAGAAGGAAGATGCTTTGCGATTACCTAAACTAATCTATCACTAACTAAATTTCCAACAAGTTGCACGCTATTTACTCAGTCAAAATATTTCTAATCAGTGCATTTGTTCATGACATTGAACCTGAACAAGGGCATGAATGCTTTGAATACATACTCTTATTAAATTTCTTCGAATTATGTTTTTAATTTTTCTTTATTTGTTTTTACTTGTTATCTACTTAGGATTCATAGATTTAGGTTAGATATAAGGAAAAAGTCTTTTACAGTGAGGGTGTTGAGGCACTGGAGCAGGTTGCCCCGTGATGTAGTTGATGCCCTGTCCCTGGAGACTTTCAAGGTGAGGCTGGATCAGGCCCTTGATAATCTGATCTATCTGTAGTTTCCCTGTTCATTGCAGAGAAGCTGGATAAGACAGCCGTCAGAGATCCCTTCCGACTCTAAGGATTCTATGACCCTATGATCAGTCCCTTTCTGTTTACTCTTTATTGGATGACACTTCCTCAAATGAAACATATATTTCTGGCAGGTTGAATACGTGGCCAAGAAAAACATTTCCATGAAGCTTCCACATTTTGAGATGAAAACTGTAAAACTACTTACCAGTTTTGCCCACAAAACCAAAAATAATACTGGAAAGCAATATGTTTCTCTTTAATCAAGTGCCTTCACTTGTGTATAATTAACCAAATGTCTGAAAAAGCACAGTTCCCTAATTTGTAGAGCTAAGCAACTTTTGCAGGTTTTTTTTTTCTCTTTCAGATCATAGATAGTCTATTTTGAACACAAGACCCCCTTTAATTTTTGATCAAATACATGAAAGATTGCCTTCTGTTAATCATCTTCTGATAAAAATGATGAAATACAAAATCTCTCTCGTGCCTGAACGTACCTGCTGTTAGCATTAATGCTTTACTGCTAAGCAATAAGCCTAGAGAACATCTGTAAGCTGAAAACTTGAGTTCAGAAAATTGAAACAAATAAAAAATGCAGTTTATAGTAACAGTTGATTCTAGCTGTTAGGAGCAGATGGTACTCATCCATATGCTATTCTGAAAGTAGGAGACCACACAATATATAAGCTATTAAGCAAGTATCAGATGTTCTAACAAGAGAGAAAATACTGAATTTGAAAGGCAATTTTATTATCTAGAAAGTTCTAGGAGTGTTTTCTGAGCTCAGTTCTCTACATTATTTACTTTTTTCAGATGTGATAATTCTTCCAACTACCAATATTGTACAGTTATACAGTCAATAACTTGACTGTAAAAAGAATTCACCCTTGATGAGGATCTGTATCTGCAGAATCGTTACAAACCATATGGGAGTTAATCTGAAGAATGCTGAAACACCCTAAATAACTACAGATGGATTTCGTAAGACACTAAGCATGAACAATACCATGATAATATTACCTGTTTAACCAATACAAACAAAGGATGCTCAGCCTTCTACAAAAGGCTAAAGTATTAAAAATTTGCAACTTAATAAATAAAAATAAATTAATTTTCTGGGTGAAAAAAACTTACTGAGCAAAAAGGTGGAAATTTTATTTCTGAGTCTTAGTCTTGTTTCATTAAACATACCAAAGTACTACAGAAGATTATCAGATATTTTATTTTAAATTTTCTTGCAAAGGTGTTGTCTTAAAATATTATTGAGAGGAAAGAGTAAGAAAAAGGTATTTCATCTGGAAAAGGTTGAAAGTCTACTAGACCACAAGAAACCTGAGGAGGAAGAAAGGTCATTTGTTCCATTGCTTCCAATGGAAGAGCTAGAGGGCATCACACAAAGCCTTTATTACAACAACATATAAGAATGTCTTGATGTGCAAGTTCTAAAAATTGGTTTGTAGTATGGAACAAATTGCAGTTTGTTTCAACAGAGTTTTCTAGGAGGAACAAAAGAAGGTGCTTCAAGTAGCTGCACTTAATTTATTTAAGCAACTTAAAACTCTGAAAGGGAAGTATCCAAGAAATTTGAAGTCAATATTTGATTTCCATTAGGTACTGAAACAGCAAGAGCAGCTTTGTTCCACAGAATTCTTCTTTTTAAAAAGCTCTCAGTCTAAAAATCACGCACCAGTTATACAAGAGGTCTAGCTGAACCTGGGATTTTAATAGTGTAGGAAAAGGGGATTGCAAGATTGCTTGTGCTCTTTGCCTTATGAGAAGAGTTGGAGGTAAGGAAGGAGGAAGCATTACTTTGCCCCTACAGTGGGAGCATTAATGATCAAGAAGAGGAAGACTGTGCATTCCTAGTTAAGCCTGTTAGGCACCCTCCCTTTCCCAGCCAGCTATCATATGCAGAGGAATAAACAGAGAGATTAGTAGCAAACCATTTTCCCAGAAATATTCCAGTATTTTCCATATTTTCTTCTAATGTAGCATAATTTTTCCTCAGCTTTTCCAAATGAGGATCCAAAATATTACAGCTATCTTTCATTAAAATTACAACAAATATCAGCAACTATTTTCTTCCCTCGAATAAACCATAATCAATTAATTAGATAACTTCAGGGGTGAAGATGTACAAGAAGTTGATTAATGTTTAATGTCACATTCTTTATAAGGAAGAGATAGAACTGTTCAAGAAAACAAGATTTCAGAGGAACAGAAGTCTTTCAGGTTTACAGCAGAAGATGCAAAAAAAGTTGTATGAACAGGGGTGTTTTAATCCCTTTTTGTAGAGAACAGTCTGTAAGGGAGAATTTGAAAATGTAATCATATTTTGACATTCTGTGAACTGAATTTGGATTAAATTCTTCTTCTATCTATTTGTCTGCAAAATACTTCTGTTAACATTTCATTATTTGTTAATTGCAGGATCCAAATCTGATCAAGTAACTGAATTCCAGAGCAACATCATATAAGGCACTATTACACTTAGATAATAATCATCATGCTCTGTGTAAGTTTTTTAATCTTCTATCCAGTAAAAAATGCTCCTGCTGACCCTTGTGTCTGCTGCTCTTATCCTTTCATTCTCCACTTCTGAGAATGGTTTGGTTTTATTACTCTTTTATTCCTTAAACATGTTCTTTTTAAAGAAAACAAAGTACAAATATTACTGCCTGGGAACACTGGATTGTCTAAATTGGTATTCAACCCTTCTATGAAAGCAAAATGGACTAGGGACAAACCTTTGATAAACTCATGATAACTTATAGAAACAGTCACCTAAGGGCCTCAGATTTGAAGTGGGTATAATTACTAGAGAACTGCCAAACAAAAGGCAGCTCCATCATCAGAACTTTTCCATCATCGTACTGAAGAAGCTATGTGGAAAATCCTTTGCACATCTATGGAAATCCCCTTGCACATCTGTGGAAAAGCAGAAAGGAGAGGAACTGCCTCCCCCAACCCTCCCCAGTGTCCCAGTGTCCTACTGGCACTGATCTGTTAATCAAAGCATCCTTAAATGAAATGCCTAGCTTCTAGTTTGAGTGTTTTTCTACAGAAAACAGAAAAATAGAAAATAGTGGTGATCAGTAATAGTCAACATTTTAATTTGGTACTGATTGCAGACTGATCATCAGATTATTTCTGACAGCTGAAAGCTAAGTAGAAGTACATGTGCATGGGTTTTTATAAGAATGTTACTATCACTCTGTATTGCTATTACCTTTTCTTAATGTTTTTAGACAAGAATAAATTGCTGTTTCCAGAAAGCTGTATATAAACCTAACTACCAGTGCAAGAATACCTGGGCTTTGATATACAAATTAACACAAAAGAATATGCACATACCTGGTCCAATGCAGAATGATGCAATAATTGCAAGAATGCAAAATATACTGAGGTAAGGAAGCCAAGTCACATTATTCTGGTAGAAAAAAAGACATTAATATTAAGTGCATCGTACTCACCATCAACATTGAAACAAAACAAAACAAACAATTGATAGTGTTCTCCAAAATGCTTCCCTATTTCGGAATTTAGACTAGGACTATTTTAGAAAATCACAGCATTTCTGTAGAATTTTATTAGATTATTTGTACTGAAGGTCTTGCTTTCTGTCATATCCCATAGAGAAATACTAGCCTATCTCCTGCACCACCGAAGTCACAGTTCTTATTCTAAAGCTCAAGCCAATCCAGAAAAGAGTTTTTCCTTCTGCTACACAGATTTTGCACTTCTATTCTAACATATTTTGGATGTGTAAAAGAGCAGCAACGATGATCCACAGAGCTTCTCCAGCCAAGGACTGGGCAGATGTCTAGATACAACAGGCTGCCTTTGAGTAGGACAGCACTATCTGAGTCTGCACAAAGCACACGAAAAACACAGGCATTTTTAGTCATAACCTTTTTTTGACAACAAGCAGGGTCATGTGTGCAAGAACCAGCTATTGGGACAAGGAAACAAGATATAAATGGTTCCTTAACAGACTTATAAATGAAATCATCTATTTTCCTCACAAGGCAATTTGTGTTAATTTTACTATAAAAAATATATTTCTTGATTCAGATCTCCGAACAGTGGGAACTGGAAATGATTCGTGGTACATGATTCCTACTGAGATTTCAGGACACTGTTTTTAACTATCTCCATTAATGCTTGGTAAGAATGCTATTATGTTAGCAGAAATTCACAGATCCCCACTCCTTTATCTATCAATTTCTTTTTCCATCAGCAAATGTGAATACTCCTTCTATTATAATTTAACTGTTTTTTTCAAAGTTGCTTAAGTTACATATCATCCTGAGAGTCACTGTAAAATACATTTGCTAAAATAGGTTATTATTTATTTTAGTATTAAATAATGACTTTAATTTTCTGACAGATTTCTCTTACAGTCTGGCTTATTCCTTTATGCAGAAAACATGATTACAGCCTCCTGGGCATTAATATAGAGCAAATGATTTGTATACCTGCCAAAATGAGACATTCTGGAGTTCCCATCTGAACTCACAACCAAGGTCCCTTAAGGCACTGAGAAAGTGAAGGTGCAAATACAGAGAAGATACAGACTGCCGTGAGATCAACCCTGAGTCCTTTGTTCAGAGCAATTCCCAATCTCTAATCTATAACAGACCAAGACATTTCTGAAAAGAAGTGAAATAGGACTCAAACTTCAGGGATCTCCAATAGCTGAATCTCTTCATCCATCAAACGGTGTTTTAAACCATTTAGCAATTCTTAGTCAATTTACAAACCTTGCAATAAAAGCTCTCCTCTGGAGAGCAGTCTTACTGTCATGACAGGTATGTGAAGTAAAACTTTCTTGTGCTACACATACAGGTAAGTCAAATAAAACTCTACCATGTTGCTGCATGCGTCTGCTTTTCTTCAACCAAAAAGTAACATTTGAAAGTCAGATTAATGTTAAGACACAGAAACAACATCAGGCAAGGAACAGCTTGATAGAAGACCACTCAAAAACATGCTGCTCCAGACTGTCACTTCTAAATCCCAAAAGCACTCAAAAACTGAGGGAAACAGCACAACAATGAAAACTGAAGAATAAACAATGGAAAATGTCTTTAGATTGGTTTATCTATCCTCCTTTGACCATCTGAAATATTTAGGGACATGACTTCTAATAGCATCTGAAAACTTAGCCTTTGCAGAACATCTGCTCTTAGGTCTTCAGGTTTTCAATGAAAATATCAGAAATGTAACTTGATAAAAAGATTAAATGTAGAAACTTTTCACAATTGGAAAAAACAAAAAACAAAAACAAAAACATCCAAGCAGAAGAATAAGGTTAGAATACACAGCATGAAAGAAAACTTGAAGTAGATTGCTTTACAAGATAAAAATAAAACAGAACATAACATTTCCCAACTATGGGTAAAACTGTCTTCAGAGTAGCTCGTGTTGTGCCATGAAATGAATTATAAAAATTGATGCAAAAGCTGGTACAGCTGATCACAGCATGTTGAAACCACCAAATTTATAGCCAAGTGAAAGACAGACATCTTTACATCAAAATGATATGCTTATGTAAGAATACTGTTTAAAACAGACAAAAGAGAGCACAAAATACATAGGAACTATACCTGCAAAGTCAGAGACACAGTAAGAACTGCAAAGAAGATGATCATCAACCCAAAACCCCCGATGAGAAGAGGCCTGCGTCCAAGCCGTTCAATAACTAAGCCCTGCAAAACAACAAGAGGCATATGGGTTTCTTGATGAGCCACTGAAGAAATCAGAGAATGTAATGTACTCTTCTGGTAAATATGAAGATGAAAAATACAAGCAATAGAGAATATTTTGTATATATCAGCTCTGCTGTATTCATAATTGTCTTCATAATTGTGTTTACATAGTCCTACCTGTTTGGAAAAACAAATCAGCATGGCATTTTTTAAGAGCTCGGAAAAAAAACAGTGAAACCACCAAAAACATTACTTGATATGGTTTTATGTATGCATTTCTCCTACTGAGCAAATGTAACCACATAGATGGAAAAATATGCAACAGGTTAATTCCACATTAGTGTTATTAGTTTGGCATATTTCAAAGTTACTACTATCCCCAGTTTCTTAATAAAGAAGGCTGCACCTTAGCCATATAAATAATATGATGGTAAAGATCTCAAGCTCAATTTCATCTTACCACTCACTTTTTTAGGGGAAAATTCATTCTGCTTTGATGGAATCAGCTACAGATTTGCACCAAATTCATACAATAATGTTATTAATGTTTTTTAAACATCAAAAGGTTGAAACAAAATACATCTCAACTGTATAACAAATATTTATTAATTTCAATGGCGAATTCAGTATATCTTTCAAAATGAACTTTAATGGTTTAAAAATTATGTATTAAAATGTGTCTTCAGCATAACATATTCATAAACACAGATTAAATCATTTTTCCTTCATCTGCAATTTGTTTTTTAATTTCTGGCTTGTCTGAATTAAAAACAGAAGTTAGCCATGATGAAGTTTTAATTCGAATAGCCAGATAAAAGAAGGGAAAATGGGTTATAGAAGAGGCATTTATTCAAATTCTGAATTTAAATTTAACACCTGAAAATAAATCGCCTTTGTAAAAAGCCACAAAATCTGAATACTTTTCTGTTAGAGATGAAAACAGAGAAGAAATTTTTGAAAAGCTGCAACATGAAACTTTTTTGCTAGTCTGAGTCATTAGACTAATATCTATCATAACATTTTTCTAATATACTGCTTTCACTGACAACTACTATAATTACAAATTACAAAATGAAAATGATAAAATGATTTGATGAAGCCCAATATTTCTCACTTCAAATAACTTAGAGTTAGAATTTCACAACTGTTTGTCACAGTTATGTACTGGGGACTGAAAACCCCCTTTCAGACATCTCTCAAGCAGAAGATAAATTGAGTAAATAAAACGAAATCTGGAGCAACACCCATTTATTTGTTTGTTTGTTTGTTTGCTTATTTATTGCAACAACGCAGACCACTACACTGTGAATATCTAGAAGAAACATAGTATAGGGAAGCACAGCCAATCAGGGAAGAAATTCCTCTCACAATGCCGGCCTTAGCAGCAGCTGATAGAAAAGGCTTTAGGACTTGGCACCCCCTCACCCCGTAGAGGTGGTCTTCCACACCGCAGAGCATTGTGATGCTGCAGAATGCAGTGAGCAGCCAGCCAGCTCTAGCATTATTTCCTTAAATGAGGAAATATACTCATTTTGACAGTTTCCACAGATTCTGTAATAGAATTTATTTCAGAGCAGTGTTTAAAATAGACTCCCTCTGATGTTATTAAGGCTTTACATTGCACTCACAGAGTCCAAATGTTCTGAAACTGCAACTGCTGCACTGCCAAAACCCTAGAAGATGCCAAGTATTTTCAACTATGACTAATGAATCCATCCTGAAAATACATGTGGCCACGTATAAACGTAACCAAGAGAAAGTTTTTATAAAAATGAAGGATGTGAAATGGTCTGATGAGTTCTTTAGAAGATGGAGACTTCTGCAGCGTGTGCCGCAATGGATGATGCACAGATAATTTGGCATAAAAATGACATTCCCTTTTTCAATTATAGATTGGTGTTTGCTATTAAAAAATCTTGGTGTTACACCAGCTGGTGGAGTTTTGTATTAAAAAGGAGTGAGTGCTGAACATTTCTCTCAGAGGAAAATTGGTTCACAGAGGATTCATGTACAAAGCAAAATGCAGAAAAAAAATCAAGCTCAAAGAAAAGCAAATCCCAGGAATGGAAGACTCCAAACAGTTTTGTACATACACTCATGACTGCATAAGTTGAAGTAAGTATTTTGGGTACATTTAGGCAAATCTAGGTGGGTCTGAGGAACTCCCAGTTTTAACTGTGAGCAGCCAAGTGCAGACAACGTTATAGCAGGCCCCATGTGCTATCTGCAGAAGAGAACAATACTTTCTGATGTATTCTAATTTTTTTTTTTCATTCAGACGTAATTTTCCCCAAGCTGAAGCCAAGCTTCTCAAGCACTCATCACGCTCAGAGTCACTGTCATTTATTTAATACAATGGCTCTTAGGAACTTGAATGTCTCAACTTCTGGACGCTTCCTACAGTTTTTGCCTCAAAGAATTTATCATTACGATTCTTGGTGGCATATCTTGTGATTTATGGAATGGACCAACTTGATCTTCTAGAGAATATTAAAAGCAATTTTTGTACTTACTCACTGGGACACTACGATGTACCCAGCTTGCTGGGAATTGTTAACTCATTTCCAAAGGTGATACTAAGTAAATCACACTGACAGCATTACAAAACCTTGGTGCACACTGACTCAGAAGCTTCTCCGTTAGACATGATCAACCTGAACAATTATGGGCAGAAGCACTCTATTTTCAGTTTAAAGATAAAAACTCCTCTACTTCTCTCAAATGCATGTCATACTTTTTGAATCAGTAGTTCTAACCCAACAAAATACAACCCATCAAAACACAACTACTTGTGGAACAGATCCAAATGAGGCATAGCAGTCTCAATTGAAATGGGATACTAGACTGAATCAAGCTCGTGAAAGGCAAGAGCAACAATTTAATGCATGCTCCTTATCTGGTCAAAAAACTACGAGACTGTGGTAACAGGCAGCATGTGTGCTTGGGAAGCAATGTCTTTGTGGGGAAGCAGGCAGACAGGTGCAGAACCACCCCGCGAAATATTAACAGGTCACAGTTGTTCAAACATGAAAAACCAATCTGCATCAGAAAAGCCTCTCAGAGGGCCTTTTTTTTTACTGGGGCTTAAAATATTGCTTAAATTAAGTACACAGATGATTCAACAGCCATTCCGTCAAGCATTTTTCACTAAATTGTAATTAATAAACTAATTTATCTTCTAGGATTTCTTAAGGAAACTTCTGATAAAGCATCAATATTTCAAATTTCTCTGCTGTCTATTCTCATTTTCTTGATGGAAAAAAAAAAAACCTCAGATGAAATCTGAAGTTTCCTTGGTTAAAAAAAGAAACAACCAAAAAAAGTAAAGCATGCCATAAAGAGGACTGTAAACTGACCATAATTTCATTTTTGGTTATGACTATACAACTCCAAAACTTGTTAACTTGCAAAACTCACCAAGAGGCCCATGACTCATAGGAAGTTGAAAATGATTCACTAGTTTTCAAGTATTTATAAGTCTGCATGCCCCACTGGCAATTCTTACCTATTAAAGACTTGTAACAAAAAATATACTGTTTGGCAGAATAAATGAAATAATAAGGAATTCAGCATATGCTGTAGTAAAGTCATAAAAAGAACTTTACAAGTGATAGCATACTGAGTTATTTGCCAAATTGAGTAGGTTGATACTTAACGTGTGATCATAAACAGACATTTGTAGAAACCTATCCCTGGAATCATTGTGATTAACATAGCTTAAATTACTGAAAATGTGTTTAAAAAAAAAAAAAATTGCAACCAAAATCCTTCCAACCAAAATGTTTGTTGATAATAAGGCAACTGATACTTTCTTTTGTCTGACAGGAAACACCTGTCAATAAAGCTTAAAAAGCAAATGCTGATCTTTTCACTTGAGTCAGCTGCTGATTTTGGGGGACTGACATGTTGAAAGCAGATCACGTTATAAAAGATCAGACAAGACAGGGAGAAAGATGAATATGTAAGCAAGTTCTGCAGCCCAAATGGGAGGGAGGGCAATGAATACTATTCCCTACTCACTTCCTGGCCCCAAAATCATACTAATAACCTTATTAGATTTTTTTTTCATTTCTCAGCTCTATACGGAAGTCTGATCTATATGTTAACATTGAGAGTAACTATACTTTCTTTTCCATGTATTTCGCAAGTAGATATGAGAAATACTTTAAGTCTGGATTCAGATTTAATGTGACATGCCAAGTCCATGTTATTTCCATTTTAAATAGCTGGGCTGGAGTGGATAATCATATTTATACCACTGACATGTCTATTTATGACAGAATGTGTAGTATCACTCATTCAAGAAAAGTAGAGTAACAGAAGACTGTGAGTTACAAATGGATTTTTGATTTCTATTTTTATATCCTTTTGCTTCTAGTATGAATTATACAATCACAAAACAAAGAAACAGTACCTAAACTGGACTTTAAAGGTACAGCGCCACATTTGATCACATAAGCACAAGCCTAAAGTGTCTTCGCAGGCATATCAGTTCACCTGAATCCATGTTAATGCCATGGCTGGATAAGATCACAGAATCACAGAATATCCCAAGTTGGAAACAACCCACAAAGATCATCAAATTCAATTCCTGGCTCTCACAGAACTGCCCAAAATTCAAACCATATTTCTGCGGGCAAGTCCAAAAACTCCTTCAACTGCAGCCCTTTACTACTGCCCTGAAGAACCTGTTTGAATGCCAAGCCTCCTCCTTGGTAGCTACCAGTGTAGGGATCACTATCAGCAAAGAAATTTATTTCTAAGTTCCTATTTTGCAGTAAACTATCCATAATCAATCTCACCTGACAGAGAAACTTTTCTACTCAATAAATATGGTTTCCACACTGAATGTCTGCTAGGCTAGCCTGACCAAGATGCAGCCCACACACAGATTTGTTCCAGCCTTCATCTTGGTAGTGCCTGGATCAACTCTTAGGGCAGCACACAAAAAACCCACTATCTAATTCCTGTTGTGTGACTTCAATAAGCTGTGGTATTTTTGAAGCAAAATTCCTACTAATGATGATTTATTTATTAAAAATTCTATGTCTGTCTTGTGTCAGGCACACAATTATAAAAGATAGATTAGATACTGGCCTTGATCTATGATAGACTATCATGGCTGGAGTTTTATTTTCTAATGTTAGCTTTTGAATACCCTGAAGATAGAACAGACTGAAAAAAAAAAAAAAAAAAAAGAAAAAAAAAGGAACACAAATAACTCAAAAAATATTTTTAATGCTTGAAAGCATGGAGTTGTGTCTACAGAACTTTCATTTTCTGAATATATCCTGCAGAAAGATTTGTACTAAGGAAATGCAGTCTCTAACAGACTGTCGTTCAAATCTACAGAGTGGTGTTTCGTAAGAGATATTTTTTCCTGGAAGGCATTACATCATTAATTCCTTGCATGTAATTTTGTCTGTCCTAAAGCTCTATTGTAATAAAACAATTTAGAAGGAATAATATCCTTGCCTAAAAATGATCACATTGACCATTCGTGGATTAAGGCAGCATGCATTAACAGGATCACAATTTGCAATTCACCCTGCAGTGAAAATATGCCCACTTGCACTCCAGCATGTCTTGGAAGTTTTTTGGTCAATATCTCTTTTCTACTGCTTGTTCTTTCTCATTACTTTTCTCAAATATATAAATCTAAGCATGTCTCAGTTCATGGATTTGCTCTATAAAGATTGCACACATTTACATTTGAAACTGTGAAATGAGGATGAAGTTTGTAACAAGTGATTAGTGACTCATTGCATCTAAAATAATTCAGTATATGATATTCTAAATGAATCACTAGGTATTTTTTTTATTTCACTTCTTAGAATGCTTAGTCATGGCTTCTTGGGACTGAGCAAAGCATTTGTAAGTCATTTGCAAATTCACACAATTGAAATTTTACATAGACAAAACAAATTAGCATGGTAGGCAATTTTAGAAGCCAACAGTTTGCTCATGTAGGCAACTATTTATGGCTTTCTACAATTATAGATGATGAGCTATATAAATATTTTGCTTGGATAAAAAAAACTATTTTCATTGCCAGGTCACTTTTTTCCCCTTGAATCTGCATGCAGCAGCATACTGATTAGAGACTACCTTTTTCCTCCTATAAAATTCATTAATAAAAATTAGGCTTTCATAATCGTAATAATCCCCAAAATCTTGTGACTCAATGGTAATTTCTGAGAGCACTGGATGTAGGCAGAGAGAACACCTATCTTTTATTGCACATGGAGAAGAGAGGCAGAATCCCTTGTCCTCCCCAGACACTGGGATAAATTATTAACCAATCAGTCTGACAACAGCTAGAAGATAGTAAGGTGATAAGAGCAGTCAAAACAGATTTGTTCAGTGCAGATCAGTACGACTCCTTTTGCTGTCGGGGAGAAAGCTAAGCAGATAGAAAGAAAATGAAAAACATGATGGATTGTGACTTCAGTAAGCCTTTTGACAGAGTTCCACATGACACTTTATATTTGTGCATATGAAGCTTTTTGTTCCTAAAGTGCAGCACTGGGAACCTTTCATTACTGAATTTATTCTTGTAAATTTCAGGCCACAAGTCCTATTTTTTAAGATCTTCTTTAGTTTCTGCAAACATTTTTGAGTTTCTGAACTTTAATAAGATTCAATGACACAGGTGATTATTAAAAGAATCATTCTTGCCTAATGAGCTTTTCAGGACCAATGGACTCCAGACAAACAGACACAGAATCCCACAGGGACAGCTATCTCTCTAAGAATAATTTTGCAATTAATTATTATCATTTCTTATAGCCCATACCTGGTGTATCTTATATTCAACAGTCTCAGTGCAAAAATCTTTCTCTTACACTGTCTTTTTAAATTGTGAAATGTATTGTTTTAGGATGCTGTTGGTTCTAAAAACATTTAGAAGTCAAAAGGTATCTAGACAAATTCAAAGAAAGAAATTCCATCAAGGCTATCAAATATCAACAAAGGTTCATCAACAGATGAATCCCCGTTATTCTCACTGAGGTTCAAAGTCCATGCATTTGAACATCTTGCAGCTGTATAATGATCAGAGGTGGTACTGATTGTATTGTGGACCACTTACTAAAAAGACCTGGTTCTATTACTTATAGGAGTATTTACTGAAACCCTGGAATTTGTTAACAAGTCTGGTTTCTGTTAAGAAGAACCACAAAAAAATACAAAGAAAGTTAAGTTCTCCCCTTGCTTTTTTCTGCTTCTTCCCCTTTCACCCTTAATAAGGTCTGTAAGGCGTATGCACCTGAATCCATATCTAACACTCCCAAACACACTTTTTAAAAAAAGCAAAAATTGTAGTTGAGACATTGCAAGAGGAAGGAAATATCCCATTCTTACTTCTAGGCATGAAAACAAGGAATTTATTCATAGAAATGAGAAGCAGTACAACTTTCAGTTAAAACACTGAATTCATCTCTTGTTCTTTTAAACAGCAGCAGTGGAACGTTTATGAAGATTACTGAATAAAGATAAGGCTTCAAAGCAACACTTCTCTTGAGCTGAAAGAGTAAATTTTAAGAAGGTAGAGATGCCAATACATGAGCATTACCAGAGGCACAGAAAGAAGTACTGAATGTATTACTCTTATACATAAAGAAGTTACTAAATATACAATGAAACAAAGTAGGTAGCCACAACAGCCTCTCTGAATGAGCCATGCTCTGTGCTCTGCTTGAGCCCCACAAATGGATAGCAAGGAGGAACTAAAGATGATAGACCCCATTAATAGAACACTCTTAATATTGTGAAATCATTCCCATTCAATTATCATCTCTTTCCACAGAATGGATGTATTCTTCTCTCAAATAGCTGCCATCATAAGAATAATAATAATTTTTACATATATCTTAAAGCAGAGTATCATGAACTTGTGAGAGGTAGGGATTTCCAGGGATTGTACTATCTCCCCATATTAAAAAGTATGTTCCTTAAACAAACAAACACAGACATAAGTAAGTGATGGTTTATGAAAAAAAAAAGTGGAAATTCACAAAAATGAGAATAAAAAGATCCTTGTGACTACAAGAAAATAAACTTGATAGATATATTTAGTTTAACATTTTGCAGGTCATAAGCAATTGCTGTGCCACTGGAAAGGATTTTTGCCAATGCCTTCCATCTGACATTTAAAAATGCTTGTCTGCTGTGCCCAATATTTTGCAAATACACTTGGTGTAAGATATGTGAAGATAATAAAAAGAAATCTAACAATGAAAGGAAAGAGTATTTGCTCCTTTGCAACCTTCCATTCCAAGGACCTGCCTATTTTTTTCTTGTTTATTGCAATGTAAACAGAAACGAATTTCCTTCAGCAACCAGTGTTGTAGTCAAGTTAGTAATGTGTTTCACTTATGGTGCTTTAGGCCTTGCACTTCCGACCTTCCTCCTCTTCACTCATACAGAGGACAATTGGATTTAGAATTAAATCCAGAAATAGCATTTTCAATTGTTTTTATTAATTACTACACTTAATCTTCAATATACTATTCTGGCCATGTTTTAATCTATATAAGGAGATGAAACCGGTAATTTAAGTATTAAGCATGTTAATGAATTCTTTAACCTTACTTACAGAAGAAACAGCAGCAAGGGTCTCAACGGCACCAGTGCTTAGAGTAACATATGGGATTGTTTTGCTATTGATTCCAGCTTCACTAAAGATGTTGTTTGTGTAGTACCAGATCTATATGAGAGAGAAAAGAATGAGTTATTAATCACTGTGGTTTGGAATACAAGCCTTTGTCATTCAGTTCAAGTATCTCTTAGATTGAGACTTGTTTGATGAAGAGTCAACAATAGTTTTTAGGATGAAATGAACTGGATTGCAAACACCTGCCACGTTCCTTCCTAATAATTTCAACAATTCCCTTCAAAAGGTTGCCCAGAGAGGTGGTGGCTGCTCTGTTCCTGGAGACATTCAAGATCAGGCTGACAGGGCTCTGAGCATCTGATTGAACTGTAGATGCCCCTGTTCATTGAAAAGGAGTTGGACATTTTCAGGAAAGGTGACCTTTACGGATCCCTTTCATGTCAAACATTCTATAATTCTGTGAAAAGAAAGCAGCAAAAAGGCAACTGATGCAACAACACTAATGCATATTACATTGCATGCTGTATGCATACAGATCTCTTCCTACAGCTGCCTGATGCCAGGTCTTCTCTATAGCAAGCTTGAAGAGCACATTACAGTAGGTCTTTTGCTTACAGAAAACACATTGCTGCTTGGCCCGCATCCCTAGCAAGATTTCTTGGAGTTGAAAATAAAGACCCTTGGTGGCAGGAGGGATCCCACAGAAGCCTAAGGATCCCATTTGGGAATACTCTGTCAAAGTAACATGCAGTACAATGTATTATTTTATATGAAAATATTAGAAGTCTACCAATGAATTACAACTTCTCTGTGGTTTTGTTCTGCTTTAGAACCAAGATATAATGGTGGAATCTAACTGTCATGAATGTTATGCATCAGAGATACGTTTTATCAGGTGAAAAGATGCTAATATGAATTCATTTACTGTTGTCAATTGAGGTTGGGTTGTCTGAAATTCTGTTATAATCAAATAGATTAATACGATCAGGGCTTCACCATGATTTCTATTCTACATGGAAACTGGCGATTGTACTGTTTCTGAACTTTTTTTTTTAAATTATAAAATAAAGCTTTAAAATTGAGTAAATATACACAGATATCAGCAGGATTATTACAGAGGTCTGCCATTTGGTAATTTCCCCTGAGAGGGACCTGAGAGACTTGCCTGAAAGAGGTCCAGCTTTCCCATATGCCCTGCCCAGATGGTGGTTATTGAAAAGATCAGACTGAGTAACAGGGCACTACAGACAAAGTGAAGGGTGAGAGCTATGACTTAAGAGATGCTTTTGCGGTTAGTGAAACCTTGTTGACAATGACTCACACCCAGCAAGTGATTTCAGACACATCTAGATAAACCGAGAACCAGGTTAACACATCTGTACCTCTTCCTCATTTTCTGAGCTTTGGGTGACTTGTCAAGGTCAGTCAGGAAAGCCAGGCAGAAGAGACAAGGAACCTGAGCTTGTATTTAAGTGTTCCAATACTTCTCTTAATGGCTTTCATCATTCACTTCTGTGCTCTTCATTTTTTGTTTCTGGATGAATCAGTTTATTAATTTCAGAATGTAAATTTGATGTGAATAATATTATAACGTGTAACATGGTTGGAGAAATAAAGTAGAAATAAAACAAAGGTAAGGCTTGAAATAGCTGACTCAACACACAGGTCAAAACAAAAATTTTTCTTGAGGCATTAAATTATACTTTAAAACAACTCCACCTTTCATTTTGGCCTGGATCTCTGACACACACACGCACAAGATATGAGAGTGTGGTTCTGCTCTGCCATGGAATACTGGACAATTTCAGTCACTTATTTAATATCCATAAAGGCCCCAAGCCCTTCTTCTCCTGGAAGTTTAGCTGTGTTATTTTATTTCACTTATGTCATCAATAATATTAGAGACTCTGGATTAAAATCATAGAATAATTAAGGCTAGAAAAGACCACTAAGATCATTGAGTCCAATGACCAGCCACCCATACCATGCCCACTAAACCATGTATCTCAATTCCATATCTATCTGTTTATTGGACACTCCCAGGTACAGTGACTCAACCCAGAAAGCTGTAGAGAATGAAAGGTCTTCCCTGAGACGCCTGTTCTCCAGAAGTTAATTTCAGTTCTCTTCACAAAAAAGTATCCACGACAAGGAACAAAACATCTTATTAGCAATGAAATCTCATAATTAGGGAAACCGAACAAAACAAACATACCTTACCTATACAAATGTTTTTATAGTTCACTTTACAGCGTGAAAACTGAATTATCACTTAATGCACAAAATGACAGTGAGGAGTCACATTTGCAGTTTATTTCAGCAGCAACCATATGCAATAAGATGCAACAGTCTGAAGGACACTTACTGCATTTAGCCCACAAAGCTGGTAGCATCCCATGGTGACGACCACAGTGATGACTTGCCACCGTACAGCACGGGTTCTAAGGAGCTGAAGCACTGACACTAATTTGGTGTTTCTTTGGACTCGACTCTCTGCCAGAACTTCTTCTACTTCTTGAGACACGTCGTCTTTCCCAAGGAAGGTCTGAAATGCTACAAACAGAGAACAAACTTTAAGCTAGACACTAATCATTTGTAACAGACTTGTTGCATGACACGTGAGACAAGCCGGAGACATTCATGGGCTCCAAAATAATTATTCTTCCAAAAATATGATTCTATTCTGGGTATAATCCTTGCAACTTATTTCTGAAATGGCAATAAGAATATAAATAATTTAGCACCATATCAAACCTCTCCCTATATTATTTCATATATAATACCGCATAAAGTCAGAGTCAAAACCCTGCATATGCTGAGAAAGAAAAGTTTAATATAAAAGCAGTTCTTAATGTTATTTAAATTAGCTACTTTTGTGACCAAATTGTATAGCAGATTTTATTGTTACAGATAGATTGGATAGAGAAGTAATAATATGAAAAAATGTTCATGTGCCTGATGAAACAAGAAAGGCAAACATTTGAAAGGAACAGCTATTTGTCTTCATAATATATAATTTTCAATGGTATATAGATAAGAATTAACTTCTTCAATATATTTATTACTAGAAAGAATTATCCAAAGAGGTTAAAAACTTTCTATCTATTGACAATTTACATTTAGGAGTGAATTTACCTGATAAATATAAGCAAACAACCCTGTATATTCCTGCAAAAAAAACAACTTTGTATTATATTATTGCATGTTGTTGACTCACTGAGATGCCCTTCCAGTTTGAATGATAAAAGCTTTTCCTCTCACATCTCCTCCAAAAGGTACTACAAGTGAATACCTCCTGGTGGAGGTGGTGCATCTCCACCAACCTTGTAATACAGATACGGTATAAATTAATGATTATTTCACCATAATTTTATGAACATAACCCAGGGGTTGGCTTTTTAAGAGATATTTAAAATGTTCATCTTGGAATGACTGCAGAGAAACAATTACATTAAACATATTCCTGTAATAAGACTTTGTGACCCAGTAGGATGCTTACTCTAAAAACAATCCTTTACACAGCAGGTCACTTAATATTGCTCCTGTTAAAGGAAATGAGTTATTTTTATTAAATGATTAAGTTGAATTACTTATCCTAAGAGCCCAACTCATTTTTGTTTTATCCATTGCTTTGTACAGCACTGCATGTAAATCAGTAACCTTCACATTTTCTGCCTATTCTTTTGGATCACAAAAAGGACTTAGATGGTCAAGAAAGCAAAGAACATTGACTAGTCAAGAGTAAAACACCTGGCCTCCATTTAGGTTTTGAAGTTAACAGAATTTTAACTTCACTCAGTAGATAAAAAGGCCAAGTAATGGCCATTTGATGCTGGGAGGGGTTGGCCACATGTACAAGCTGGCCTCAACCAATGTGTTATTCTCCATCACTTTGGTAAGTGTGCAGCACTGCACACTCTGCCAGGCAGACCTTAGTTAACAGAAGGCACCATTTTTCAAAGGATGAATGCTTAGCACCTCTGTGTACTGATTTGATTCATAACATTTGTTTATTCTGATATTCAGTTTCTCTTTAGGGAAAGGAGAAATCAGAATTTTTAAATTCTCTAAGACTGCATGTGCACTGTCCTTTCACATCGCTCTTATAAATTAGAAATGAAATAACAAATTCAGAGCTTAGAATCAAGAATTTAAGCTGCTGAGTTTTATTGGCGTGCCACTTCTCACTAATTATTAAATGACTTGCAAAGCACTAGTTAGAATGAGTGTGATGTATTTAAAGGCTATGATAGGAAATGTAAAGTTGAAAAGATGTGTAGTATTGGAACAACCTGTAGCATGCTACAGTCAATGTCTTGTGCTTAAATTACACTTCTGTCAGTACTGCTAGAGCACTGACAAAGAAAATTCAGATAACTGTGAGAATAACCAGGCATATATTACAATATTCTTTTTGAAATGATTCTTATAGATTTTTAAGCATCCAGTTTATTGGTCTAAATTAGGTCAGTGCACAATTTTCTTGATTTTTTTCCTGTCCTTTGAGTTCTCTGCATTCCTGTAGGGCACACAAGTTAAAAAATATAGGTGCAGTCAAGTAAAATGGAAGCAATCTGTCTGTTCTGCACAAGGGATCTTGCTGCATTTTGACAGGGACCAGGAAGTTAAAAAAAAACACAAAACAGCAATTACCAAAAATTACAAAGCACAAGGCAGGAAAAAAATATAGACACCTGCTTTCTTTTTCTTCCCTCCCTGGTATTAGGACCAGAGATGTAAAAGTCAAGAGGAAACTTTGACAGATGCATAAAATTAACAAGTCAAAAAATGTTAGGAAAATGCTATGCTACTCACACATAGTTTTCAGTAAACAACAGTAATTAACAAATTTTCCAGCTACTCAACACATCTTTAAAGTTCTTTCATTAGCACTTTTTTAGTACAGTAAGAATCACACTTTTATACATAATTAATGTGAAAATACACTCTGCACAAAAATCAAGTCTTTTAATTTGTTATTTTCAATTCTATTCATTTTGCATTTTATACTCCTGCATTACTGGCACTGAAAATCACAGCAGTCATTCCTACCTCCCACTGCAATGGCTTATTTCCTGCTTCTCTCCATAGGGATACCTTGCATTCACATCTGTACCCTGCTTGTAACAGTTCTAGCAATCTTTAGATCTTCTCCAGATTTCTTTTTAATTTTCTTAGACCAGAAGATCTAGATATTCAGCAGACTAAGATACATTACCTTTAAAAACAGCAAAAGAAGTGAATGTTTCCAGTCTAGGGAAAAGGAAATAGGAACCTTTACCATTTACACAACTAGTTTCCATTCATCTCAGCTATGTGAAGATGAAACATTTGAAAGTGGTTAAAGGGTCTGAATAAAATCAATATGTCTCTTCTTTAAAACTGACTTCTTTAAAACTTTAATTGAAGCTGCATAAGAGGGACTCAGCTATATGTGGATTCCTAATCCTTTTTCCACTGCAGTACTTCCAAGATTGTGCAAAGGATACCAAATTACCATACAGACTTCAAGATATTTCAAAAGACCAAAATGCTTTTTTGTGGCTTACAGAACAGAGCCAGCCCCCTGTATGATGAAACAAAAACAGGTGTGGTAACTGCTAGTAGCTGGGGTAATATTTCTTACACCTTTGAAAATTTGAAAAACGAAGCAATACAAAGCTGTTTTGAATAATTCAATAAAATTGCCCTGTGTTACCCAGTGATATGTTCATTTTCACTGATAATAAAGTACCCTAAAACTGGGGTCTGTAACACTAAGCTTTGTCTAAACTCTCCTCAAACAGCATCTTCTTTGGCTACAGAGACAGAGCACTGGTCTGGATGGACCCAGTGAAGCATCTTCCATTAACACTGGCTTCTGTTCTGGGTAATGGTGGACATACAGGGAGCTTCACTGCCTCAGTGCTTACAGAAAAACCACCTGACTTCAGTGTTTTTGAATCAGATGTGCAGTAATTTCCTCACAGTAACTTTACATTGTAAAAATATTTGATAAAATGAAAAAAACAGTGTTTCCTCATACCACTGATTTTATCAAAGTACTGAATAGCCAGAAGAACAATTTGGAAGTATTTTGCTAAGAGAGATTTAAACAGCTTTTTAAACGTAGTAAAATATTAATTAACTACAACCATGTAGGACAGTGACATTTAATAGTAAACTCCAAAGTTGATATTCCAACTCAGTAAATACAGCTGCAAGCAAAAGACTTGCTCACAGATCTGTGAATTAGCATCTAGTTTGGCATTACGTCCATTTCTGTTCTCACACTGAAACTAGCCAAGATGTTCAGAGGAAACAAAATAACAACATACTACATTCAATAAGCACAATAATTGATAAACCAAACTGCACCAAAGTCCATTAAACCAAGTAAATTTTCTAAAAGACACGAGGTTTAGGAAAAACTTGGCAGACACACTGTAGTAATTCCAGCTTTTGGCAGTCAGCTCCATTGTGGTAGAGCCTATACCATGAACGAGCAAGTATAGCTTATAATGCTTAGAGACATACGCAAAAAGCACACATAAACAGAAATAAATCATAGGTGACCTTCCTGACACTCCATCTAAATCACTAGATCTGCAGCATTTTTTTGTTTCCTGCAGTAACTCTGATTTTAATGCCTCCTGTGCACGTAGACTCCATGAGGGGCTTTGTAATAAAAATAACGACTTACTTTTTAAAATCAGAAATGGCCCTGCTCTTTTATCACATCAAGAGCTATCAACTCAAACCACATCCTTTAGAGTTTTAAAACTACATTATTTTTACACCAGGTGCAATGCTTCTTCAATAACCATGGGAATGTAAATGTGTGACTGAACACAGCAAATGAACAGATTTTGTATGTCACCAGCAGATGTTACTGTGACATTATATCCAAGTTATTTGACCCTTAAGACATAATAATGTTATGGTTTTCTGGGAAGCTAGGGTGCCAAATGGCTTCCATTATTGGTTTACATGACATGTTACTGTAGCTGCATTGAAAATACAGATTTTTTCTTTGCAACAGCATTATTTAGAAGAAATGTATCAGCTCCCCAAATATTTGTAAACACTGCTGTAAGTCACAACATCATTCTGTTTTATCACAGTACTACTGTTGGTCTTGTTTGCATTGCTACATATCTACTAGTCACAGTCACAGATCAGGGATTCATTTGGCATACAACAAATACTCAACAAATACCAAATTCCTGTTTCACCACCATAGAGTTTGAGTCTTAAATGAAGAGAATAAATTGGATACAATTACAACCACTGATTTCTTTTTCTTCCTGATCCTACCCTGTTATCCTTTGCTCCCACAGCTTCCTAACAATTTAATGGTGATCTCTTTCCAGAGTCTTCCAATCACTTGAATATCTACTTCTCCTCCATCATCTGGTGAGCATTAAGATGATACAAGATAAATGTCAGGTATTTTTCTCCTTTCTTTTATTCCAAAGAGAGGGGACTTGGGATGGTTCTTCCCTCTCTCCATTACCAGACTTCTAACTTACTGAGTGAAGCAGGATTATAGATTGTGCTGTTGAGTCCAGTCAATCATTCTGCCCCCAGATAGTTCTCCAACATTCAGCAGTGAAATAGGAATACAGGATTGGTTTCGACTGGTGGTAGTCTCAGGGAGCCAGATGCAGGATATTGACTCCAGAAAGACCAGCAGTGCTCAGCTCCTAGCACTGCTTTTAGCATAGTATCCACAAGGACAAAAGTTATCTGGACCCTGTTTATCCCTGTGCTCATGAAATAGTTTGCCTCATACAGGTGTGTTTTATCCTCAGACAAGACACCTGCCTACTCTTGCCTCATTTCTCTTTTTTGTCACTTTGCTCTATTTTCCTCGTTGTGTCTCTTGTTTGCCACTTAAGGGTATCATGCTCTTTTACCCTGCTGCCAAAAAAGAGAATGAGGCCACTTGTAATTTGGTAGTTATAATGTGGTTAATCTCCTGAGGGCAGAAAAAAAAAAATGGAGAGATTAAAGCAGGCGCAGAACTCTGTGGAAACTCAGTGACCTACATTATACCACTGGATTTTTATTGCTCTAAAATAATTAGGAAGATTAACATTATCATTTCCATTTTAGAAGCTTTTACATAGAGTATGTTATAAAAAGATGTACTGTAGTCATTTGCCTTAAATACAGTGGACCTTTTGCAAATAATGGTTTTATATTTCTCCAAAAAGACATAATCCACAATGAAATGCACAAAATTTGCACAAGTAGCCTTCTTCCGTTAGGGGAAAGAGAAAAGGATTTAGTCACAAAACAGGCTTGCACATTTCTCATATTAATATGCAGATCCAACCTAAGACAAATAATTCCAGAGCATTACTGTAGTCATCATTATAATGGAGAATACTGCATTCTCATTAATGGCTTAGATCAGTAGTTTTTTTCATGATTCTCTAGTCTCCCTAATACACAGGCTTTTCCTTACACATTTCTACAGATAAAACTAAAATGCAGACCATTTTTCTTGATTGTTGATTCAGTTATTCGCATTCCTATTCTGTGAATCCCTCCCACTAGCTTTCATTATTTTGCTGCATTACAGAGGCTCAGCTCTTGTCTCATCTAGATTTCTCTGTGTGCCCTGGTGGGGAGGAAATCTCCAAATCCCACCCATCAGGCTGAAAGTGCAGGTCTCTCTGGTCATTTTTCACCCAGGCACTCCATGAATCACACAGGCATCTTCCCCACCTATCTGTGTACTAAACACACATAGAATCATAGAATTGCTCAGGTTGGAAAAAACCTTTGAGATCATCAAGTCCAACTGCAACCTAACCATACTACCCCAACTCTAACAACCCTCTACTAAATCTTGTCCCTGAGCACCACATCCAAACGATTTTTAAGCACTTCCAGGGATGGTGACTCAGCATACAAAGATACTTTCATTTGCAAATCTATGTTAGGAGAAGTGAGATTATAAAGGATGTGCAATGGTAAGAAAAAAAATGCTTATTTCCCTAATGTGATTTACAATAAGCCATGTAGATACTTTACAACAGAGAAATACGATATGATCTATACTGACTTACAGAGGGGATTTTATGGAGAGTGAACAGCTAAATCCTACCTAACAACGATTCGTACCTATTCTGCATCTGATATCCTAACAGGTTGCCTTGCCTGGGAAGCAAGTGGTCTAATCTTGGGTGAATGACTTGTTAGTAGGTAAAGAAAGGGAAGAAAATTGATTGGAATATATCAACATTACTGTCCTAGACTCTTAACACATATCTATCTATATTCACCAGTTACCAGCTGTATTTAAATCTCTGCAGATTACATTCAAAAAGAGTTTCTATACATACTACACTGCATATCAGGGTTAAATCTTGATTTTGGAATTAATCAGGCCCAAAGGCTTCTATTCATATCCATCAACTTTAAAAATTTATTGATATCAGACTCCTTTGCCTTTTGGTGCCTAATTTTACAGCTTTACTTGTCAGAGTGGCTCCTGAAATCCATCTTCTCATCTGCAGGAAACCTTATTAAGCTACTGGCTGAAGACCCTCCCATCTCAATTACCATATCACTGGAAATAAGGTGTGGGTAACTTTGCTATTCTGACGTCTTCTACTTCAAAATCCACCTCCGATGCTTCTAGATTCATTTTCAAACATTTTTAGAACACGTGTGTTCTGAAAACATCCCGGACTGCAATTGGCCTGTTACCAACAGTAAGTGGTGTGAATTTCCAAGCAGGTGGGGTTATTTTCATGAGAAATTATGGCAGTTTCTAAGCTCTACATGCAAGAGACGCAGCTCTACGTTTACTAGTGAGGTTCCCAAGCACTGTGAAAGTATTGTGAATAGATCTTTAAAGCAAGTCTAACATTATGCAACATGATTGCAGATGCAGGCTCTTTGCCATACATAGCAAATACATTTACAATTTTATCAGGTTGAACAGAGACAGTTTAAGTTTGGCACCAAAAGACATTTTCTCCAAGCCCAGGCATAGTGCTACAGAACTGAGCTACTCAACTGCCTGCCCTAAGCTGCCTGCCATGGTTTCCCTCTGGAAAAGCTGTTGTCTGCCTCCTGAAGTCTCTGCAAAGCTCAGAATTCTTCTCAAAGACAAGTTTCTTTTACAGTTAAACAAACAAACAAACAAACAAGCAAACTATCTGATCCTAATCTTCCTGCCAATATTCCATTGTATTTTGTTGCCATACAACAGATAGCAGCAGAGGAGCAGTCTGACAAAAGGGTGTCTGACATAAAAATGCATATGAAGCAAAGGTGTGTCATTGAATTCCTCCCTGGGGAAGAAATGGCTCCCACTGACATTCACTGACACTTGCTGAACATTTGTGGAAACCAAATATATTAGAAACAGGCTCTTCCCTTCTATGTACAGTCCTCTTTTTAAATTATCACTACAATAAGCAAAAATAAACTTAGTGTGATGGTGTACTGGCAACCGTAACTGGCCATGGTTATTTCAAAGGGCAGAGTATGCAAAATCTCTAACATCAAAAAAAGTTTATGCATAGAATGTAAGTTAAGAGCAAAATATTCTGGTTGGTGTCTGTGAAACTGAAGCAAGAAATATGGGAGCACTGAACATTTTCAGATAAATAGATGTGTGCTATTTTTATCAAACTAACAGAGGTTGTTGAGTCACAGAACATGCGATAAACAAAGCCACTATGGAGCAAAAGAAAAAAAAAAGTGCTTTCATTAAGAAAATGGCAAAGACTTTACATAAAGGACAGTCAATAAACACTGAAATCTTCTTTCACTCCCCAATGAACATTGCATGTAGTGTCTGACACATAGCAAGAGGATGATTTAAGTTTCTATCACCAAGCATAACATTATATAAGTTAGCTTGCTGGAGAAATTCATGTATAGAAAAAAAATCCCAAAGCAACAGTGATTTTTAGTGACATACAGAAACAAATGGAAAAGGCAAGGGGAAAATAATTGCCAGGAGCATCTTTACAGTTGGAATATTCTGATTTCACTAATATAAAAATTCCTTTCCAGACTGCATCCCTACAAAAAAAAAAAAAAAAAAAAAAAAAGCTTTATTACAAGAATTCAAGTAACACATCATACCTTTTTCTGCCTTACTGGTATTATGTTTTTCAAGTAGGAGGTAACGAGGACTTTCAGGAAGAAAAGGTAGAATCACAATTTGTACCAATGCAGGAACAACGATCACTCCAAACAAAAAAGGCCACCGAGATTCCTGCAGACAGAAGCAAATATGATAGTCAGTAGTATTTTCTCATAGTGAAACTAGGAACAAAAATAGCTTTGATGGAAAGTGCTGTAAGTTCATCATTTGACATATTGTGCCAGTGAACCAGGTAACATCTTCTTCCTGAGCTCAGTAGGAAGTCTGAACACTTTTATCTTAGATCTCCTTCCTCAAGGGACGAGGAAGACAGAATTTAGGTCATCAACTGACTGAGCATGGAAAGAGAGGCAGGGGAACTAGAAAACAGCATTACTTCACACGTTTTTCCTTTCCTTCGGCATTAACAACCATACACACAAAAAATATTTAAATATACTCAAATATATATTCTACAAGTCATCCTCATTTGCACCAATATCACACATTCATCAAGAAAACAGAGAGTGGCTGGAGAAGAAAGTTGCCTGAAGTATAACTTTCTGCAGCAAAGTGGCCTGCTATCAGTCCATGCTCTTATGATACCTTTTCTTCCAGTTATCTAATACCAAGATGCATTTTTCTTTAGTAGTTTTCCCCTTAAAGTTCAACATTCATCTATTTAACTCAATTCTTTCTAATCTGAGAATTGGTCCTTAATTGAAAAGCCTGCTGAGACTTCAGTGCACCTACTGCTCAGGCATAATGTCTAGCACATTTTCAAAAGCTTGGCTAGATCAAAAGCAGATTGCACCACATCCTCTCTGATTGAACTCTGAAAGGCACAGGGAGTTTGGATCCACTCTCCCTCTCAAAATGAATCTGTCCATTCAGACCCCAAATTTTCCCTAAACAGACCTGGCTACATTTTATTTCAATATAATTTTCCACAGTCAAATCAAAATTCAGAAGTCCTCCAGCTAATTTCTGTTGACAGTTTTTATCTTATGTTTTCCCACTTCAGCAGTACATCTTCTCAAACAGAACACACAGCACACCATGAAAACCTGAGCTGGGATATGGGGTAGTTTAACAACTGCAGGCAGAATGACAGGGGTATTTCCTAATTGCTGATTTCTGTTGTCCTTTCAGTGACAGGTTATTTTTGTTTAAATCTCTGATGAGAGTAAAAAAAACTGGAGAAAGGAATTTTTCAAAGCATTCAAGCATCGATCTTACCAGTACTTCTCAAAGCCTTTGTTACCATGAGGACTTCAAGATCCCGTTCCTTCATTCTGAATTTATTTATTATTTTAGATTCAGTAGAGTGTAGAACTCTACCCAGTATACAAGCGTCAAGACTGAACGATTATCAGTCTTATTTTAAAAATGAGAAAATTAAAACTTTAAGAATTGTTAATAAATCACATATGCAAAATGGGCTCCTGATGTTAAGAAACTTAAGAAAACATGCAACGTTTTTTAAAGTTGTATTCTAAATCTGCCTGTAAACAGACATTTTACACAGTTATAAAAAAAAAATCCAGTTTAATCTCTATCATTGTTTCCTATAATATAAATACTCTTACTACATACTATGTAGGTTTATAAGGCTTAAGAACTTTTTTCAATACCTCAATAATAATAATAATAATAATAATCAAAAATTAGCTCTTTGTTGTCACATCTTATTTCCTGTAGGCTTTCTTTCCACAATACCAAGGCCACTTTTTAAGGTATGTATTATTACGATGACTATTCTGCCACCCTACTGGGACTTGCTTGGAATAATATCTCTACCTTTTTAAATTCTCCCAGACCGTATGGTTTTCTACTTCACTTTTCTCTCAGGTAACTCTTCCTGAAAGTGCTATTTTGAAATAAATAGGAAAAAGATTGAACTTCTGAACCTACACTCCACAGTAAATAACACACTCTGACAATATAATAGAATTTTCTCCTCATAAAACACTGAGCTTCCTTTATTTCCTCTATGAAGGATTTTTGATTTACTTTTTGTTATGCTAACTTCAAAAAAGAATTTGAGATAAAACAATCAAATATACTTTCACATTCTGAAAGGAAGCTGGATCATCCCTGAATTTTGTAATTTAATTGAACTCGTATGACTGTGATGACACTGCTGTTTCGCCCTTTAGATATGGGGTAAACATTTCATTTTGATAGGAAAAGTTAAGAAGTTTATTTTATTTTTAACCATATTATAGAAAAAAAACTCACACTGGTAAGCAACTAAAATCAGTGGAAACGTTTCCATCCATTTCAAAAGGTTTCAGATGGAGCCTGTTCAATTCTTCTATAGAATTTTGGTTCTAATTGTTTTTCTGTTAATTTACATTATCTACATTCATATTCTTCATCTCTATACAGAAAAGAAATATTGAGACTAAACGGAGTTTAGAAGAACTACATTTGTTGGGATGAAAGCATAAATATGAACTGCAGAAAATCAAGCTGAATTAGACATTATAAAAGGAAATAAAGAAAGAAGGGAAAGGAAAGGTACCCTGATGTTTTTAAGTAGGAACAGAACCTGTTCTGGGACAATTCTCGGAAGCAATAATTAAATGAAGACACAAGACATTTTAAGCATGACTTGAAAGCTACTTCAGTGCTTTGCTTCAGTTGTCACTAAGGAGAAGAATAGGGGCATTACTGAAAGGAAAGAAAACAACCCCATCACATTTTATTTCACAAAAAACTTAGAAGAGCATTAAATATTTTAATTACAGAGGACTTGACTCGTCACCTGCTTAGAACTGGTACAAATAACATGTCAGGATGGTACGATTTCAATTTTGAACTGTCACATTGTGAATATTTGCTTAGGCTGAGACAGGAAAAACCCAGCTTTGATCTATTTACAAAAGACAGCTAAGTAGAGGAGCAAGTTTGACAACCACATACTCAAAGGCTGATATAATAAAGAGCAAATCTGCAGAATTATGTGGTGGTAAATATATATATGTGTGTGTGTAAATCATGCCTACGATTTGTCAATTAAACAAGATAAAACTATATTAGAATACAGTAAAGCAAATGTTATTATGTCAGAGAATTATTGGCTAAAAATGTAGAAAATGGAACAAGTTAAGAGATGGAAAACAAACTAGGATGCAGAAAACGTCAATAAGCCCTGCTGACTGTTGCACTATTGGACTGTATGCAGTTCAATGGCCTGTTTAATTATTGGTTATGTTTAATATTCGTTAATTAGAAAATATTTATTGATAAAGTGATAAGACATTTTCACCACAGGAAAGGCTAAAATTATACACATACATATAACAATTAAAAAAGAGATAATTGAATTGTTGTCTGTCATATAGTAGAAGAGGGAAGATGGGCTGTATTGCCCTATAAATAGCTACTCATTTTGGCAAAAAAATTGTCAGGCCAGTTAAGTCTCCTAATACAAGATGCATAATAGGAACAAAAAAATTGAGTGAGGAAATATATAATTTCTATAGGTTCTGTTATCTCAATAGACAAATAATTTTAAAATTTATTTTAAAATCATAGTTTTAAAAGCATAACAGCCACCTCACAGGAACTTCTGTAACTTTATTTTGGCAAAATATAATCACACATATGCAAAAAGAATCACATCTACTGTAATTTCTAGATGCCTTGAAGCATCCTGCTGCAGCCCCAGAGGGATGGAGATCTCCTGGGTTTTGTGCATCTGCTAGCCCCATGGGGATACCTAAGGTACTTTTCCACTGGAGTATACCACTACTAGCATCCAATAAGATTTTACTCCACTTTACTTCTGGCAAATCACTAGATGTAATGAAAGTGTTATACTTTTCCATTTTACACAGTTAGATATTTGAAATCACAGATAGAACATGCTGGGAATTAGAGAAGGACCCTGGAAAACATTAGTATATGACCCTTTTCTGCTGCAATGGAAGCAACAAAGCCATGATTTCTTATTCTACAAAAAGCATGCATCCATGAGGCATAAGCTACTTTCATTTCCATGATGCATCACAGAATTGCAAGAGTTTACTGACATAAGTTCTCCTCTCTCTCTCTTTGCTACAAGAGTTCTTTATTCTACATTTTAATAATGTCTAGATTATCAATCCAACCTTGAAAGATAAATATTTTTAACCATAGTTTTTGTCTTGGAAGATAGAGGTATAGAATAAAAGAACTCAGAACAGTATGAGGAAGACTGATTGACTCATACTTTGTGTTATAATGTGCAAGATCTATCTGAAAAGAATCTCAAAATTTTTTCATTGGTGTCCATCTGCAGACTGTGGGCATCAGAGCAATTCTGAATTGCATTTGTTTCTCGTTTGTGACATACAGACTGTTTTTAAGGAATCCTTGAACCTGAATCCAGAGTCTAACAAGGAAATAAGAATATTTAAAGGAATTTCAACAGGTAAAGGCAAAGAGCAGCCTTCAGCAACGCAGCCTGTAAAACTATTGATTGCATCACTTTTTTAGTGCAAACAAAGGAGTACTTTTGAAAGAACTTGGTAAAACAGCATGAAAGATTCCTAAACAAACTTTCCTAAGTACACAGCTGTCCATCACTTCAAATATGTGATTTCCAAGGCGTCTTGTAATTCATTACAGTTTGACCAGGGACCTACAAAAGTTCTTAGAGCTGATTTGAAAAAAATCACCTTTCCAAGTTGCATGAAGAACTGATTTGAAAGGAACTCATTGTAGTAATCTTTCCTTACCAGACACATAGTACAGCTGCAGTATAGATAAAATTCAGTAAAATTTAGAAAATTCTGAATGTTTCTAGTGGAGGCAAAGAAAAATCTGGAAGAAGACAGTGTGCCACTCAAGTCTATTCAGAAGGCAAACTCTGTTTAACTCTGCTTACCCAATATGGAATTGCCAATAAGAGCCATTATCTTCACACAGCTTTTTCTCCTCAGCAAGACACTTCCTACCTTTGTTCACTGCTGCTCTCTCCTGCACCTTGTATTCTCTTGGATGACCAAAACTAGCTTCATTCAAGAGATGGACACATCAGGAATTTTCCTGTTTGCTTAACTATTTCCCCCCTGGAAACACCTACAGGAGCAATAGAAATTGCTCAGAAGGTGCTGCCCTAATAGGCCTTAGGAGATGAGCAA